AAAATAGCTTATTTGGTGGGCGGGAGGGAAGTGACCAAATTGACACTTTGAGCCTGATGACATGACAGCACCATGCTAAAAATAGGGGTCTGCTTTTGCTTCTCGCAAATGAAACGTTTCCTATCCCCAAACCAGCCAGAAAGGAGAGTCACAGATCCTGTGCTTTGACTCAGAAACTGGGGAATTGTGTTTGACAGGCCTCAGCGCTCCTACTCCTTTTTGAGAGGTGTTTACATGATGATACAGTGGTGAAAAGTGACAAAATGACGCTAGAAAAAAAATGCCAGGGAGCCTCTGTGTACAAAGAAACCTGCTAAGTCAATTCAGGCTTAAATCGGAAACCTTTGCCCTAAAGCAAAAACACTTTGGAAAACAAACATATAAAAATGGAATAACCATGGCAAAGTTTCTTAAATTAACATGATTAAACCTAAGGAGACATGAAATGAAGAGAGAGGATCAGGGACAAGAACTGAGGTCCTTAAACCCTCAGGAGTGGCAGCAACTTGGGTGGAGCCAACTTCACGTCAGAGAATGGTCAAAGTGCCAGACTTGGTCAGCATGAGAAAAGAGGCCACATCAGTCAAATGCAAATTCATGGGCACAACTACACAAAAGCAATGCTCGAAAGAGCCATGACTGGCCACTGTGGCCAGAGAAAGTCTTTCCCAAGGCAGAGGTCCTGAATCAACACAGAATCTACACAGTTGGAAGAAGTACCAAGTTTCCCCCGCCCTCACCTGTGTAGAAGCTGGAATGATTGTTTTCTTGCTCGAAGATGCTCTTGGTCTGAGAGTCGAATCGGAGCCATAGTCCAATGGCAAGGACGGCAATTCCGGCAAGCTGCAAGAAATACAGGATGCTGGCATTAATCTTGGCTGCCAGGGAGAGCACCGTCCCTGAGTGCCGAAGGCGAGACCACCCTCGGTCTCTGCTCCTCACTGTGAACCTGGAGTAGCAGCAGCTAGTGTGGGGGTGGGGGATCCATTCATTTGCTAAAAATATCAGCAAGCTGGAAATAAACACTTACCTACTAGCAGCACAATGGCTATTTTATGGACAATGGAATACTATACAGCAGTGAAAAGGAACGGACTGTAGCCATGTGCAACACTATGAGTGCATCTCATGGTGCTAAACAAAAGAAGCAAGAGCCATAGAATACATACAACATGATTCCTTGTAGTTAAATATTACCTTTTAGGGGTGTATATAAATGACAAAGAGAAAAAAAGGAAGTGATTATCATAAAGTCAAACAAGTGGTGACCTGTAGCTGGGGGGATGGAGGGGTAGGGTCTAGGGCACTGGCAATATTTCAGCTTTTGACGTGGGTGGTGGTGACATGGATATTTGCTTCATAGTTATTCTTTAAACTGTTCATGTTTTATGCACTACTCTGTCTATATACCATACATACAATAAAAGAAAAAAAAAAAAGAGTTGCTCAAAGGGCATACCCAGGCACCAGTGAGGGCAGCTGTAATTCATCAGACCACACTGCTTGGTGAATGACGACTCGCCCCTATGTTGTCTGTATTTGGTCCTTTCCCTTTTCACACAGGGAAACCTTATAAGCAGACCAGCCCAATTCCAGGTTTTAGGCGCATGCGTCCTTCCAAGTGGTCCTTATGGACATCAGACAAGAAGCCTCCAAGTAATCTTCCAGTCTTATGAAAATCCCATTTCATAGGTGGGCAGGTTGAGACACTGGACCCTACAGGGCAGCCTTTTCCAGTAAGGAGCAGAACTGAGATGCCAAATCCCGGCCTGGCGCTGTTGAACTAGATGCCTGTGAGGGTGGCCCCCCGCCAAGCCCTCCCTGACCAGCAGCGCCAGCTGAGCTCTGCCTCTCACGCTCGTACCAGGGCTTGCTGGGGAGTGACTCAGGCTGCAGTGCAGTGGCCAGCTGGACACATAAGGGGGTGGGCTCCAGGCCAACCCCTAGGCACCAGGTTTTGCTGGCCCATGCTCCTCAACAGAGGCAGCCTATGTTAGAGCCCTGCTCTTCAGGAAGCTGGGTTATCTGCCCCGGGAGCTGGGACAGCCCGTGTGTGGACAGGCTTCTCCTTCCTTCCTTCTTTGCTCCTCTCCTTTCTCCCATGACTCGGTAGCGGGTTGGGATGTGTTGGGTGGAGGGGAGGTGGCAACAGTGGAAAGGGTGACCCGAGACCTCAGCCTGCAGTAGAGTCAAAACCTTGCCTACGCCCGCAGTGGTGTACGCTGCCCTGGGTGTGTTTCCACAGTTGAGGGGCTAGAATTCCTGGCTTAGAGTTCCACTGTTTCAGTTTTCCCACCTGTAAAACAGGAATGGGGAGACGTGGCCCTTCCTTGCCTTGTAAGCATGGCAAAAAATAAAGGAGGCCTTACGTTAGCAGTACTAGAAGTATTAGAAGTTACTGTCAGAATAACCTTATTAGCACCCAGGTCACCAGTATTGCGCTCCCACCCCCTTGGAATGTCACTCAGCATCTTCCCAAACCTCTCAGTCCTCATCCTAGGGGAGGAAACACCAAACATCAGTAAGAACGGCCACATGCTTCATGGCTGGACGATGCGGAAAAGAAAAACTCATGGATGGCAGGCTTGAAGGAGCAGGAATTTTAGTTAAAGCCAAGAGCTTTGGGTTCAAGCAAACGTGGCAGGTTTTCTTTATTAACAGTAGACATGCAAGTGAGTGAGGGTCTTCTGGCCTAACCCAAAGAAGCTGACATGGCTCGTGAGTCTCTCTCTCTTCTCCAGCCTGGACACCCTGTTTCAGACTGCGTTCTTTTGACCCAGGAGCACTGCCGTTAGAGCAGGGGCACAGTGGGGCCCAGCTGGGACATCCTCATACACTGGGTACTAGATGAGCACACGCTCTGTACTAAGTGGGTCCTGACTCCATGGTGGGCCGGCCGTGGCCTAGCTCCCCTGGGGTCTGGGAGAGTTAAAAAAAAGGTGATGCATTTTTGCTCTCTGCACCCCAATACATGGCGACTCAGTCAGACCTCTGGAAAATGGAAGACTGAGGCAGCTGGCCTCCTTGTGGACATGAAAGCATCAGCCTGAGAACTCTATAGGCTAGAGCAGCGGTTCTCAACCTTCCNGAGCGAAGGCAGTGGCACAGCCCCAGTTTCTCCCTATCTTATGGGGACAAGCATGAGTCACTTCTTTGAGCTCCATAGCAGGGGCTGAATAAATAGGGAGTATTGAGAGATCAAAGGGATTTACAAGCATATATGGAATCGAGTTGAGTGGGGCTGAACAGACAGACATGTTTTCTCTAAGTCCAGATCTCACTTTGTAAGCCCAGAATCACTGGCAGAAGTTGGTGAGTTGGATTAGCAGCAATAGGGAGCTGTGACAGGCAAAAGCACTTCCCATGGGGTAGGGGTGGGGGTGGGGAGAGGGAGAGGGAGAAGGAGAGAGAGAGAGAGAAGAAGGGAGGGAGGGAGAGAGAGAGAGAGAAAGAGAGAAAGAGAGAGAGAGAACTCCAAATGGTCTTGGTTAATATTAAATATTCATTCTCGGACCCAACAGATGAGGACTTCAGGACAAAGGGTCTTGTTGGTTTTAAATCTTGCCTGGGCAGCTGCAGATCTGGGGTATCTCAGCTTCATCCTCTCTAGTTCCCTGGCAGCTGTTTATGGGGATTTTAGCAGCAGGTATAGGGTGGCTAAGCTGCAAGCAACACGCCCCCGCCCCGCCCATGGGACCATAGCACGGCTTGGGCTGCTTCTTAAAAGGGCCACCCAGGGCTTCCCCTTGCAAAGCTCCTCCTAGCCTCCACCCTGAGCTCGTTAGCAAAGGCTGGCCATGATAGATGACAAAGCGTTCCCCTTTATAAAACAAGCGAATGTTGGCTTGCTGTCTGACTCATGGAAAAAGTTATTCGTCACAGAGCGTTCCCTAGGATTATTGTATTAATTTGCTTAAGGGCTGTTTATTCTGTTTTTTTTCAGGCTAACATTACAGGCCTAGTAAAAAAAAAGCCCTTGGTGTTGCAGTGGCAGATGCCAGGGTGTCCTTTACACCAGAAATGGGGCATTCTTATTCACCTGTTTATCAGGGCTCTCGGCCTCAGCCGGGAGCAGACACATCAGCCTCCTGTCACCACCCCAACCCCATCTTGCAAACAGCACTCACCATACCTGTTTGTGTGGAGAACGAACTCCGGCACAGCTTCTGGGCTACATTTGCTTAGAACAGTTGATTCTCTCCAGTTAACTCAGTCAGGGTTCCTAGGAACCCTAACTGTTCCCAATCGTTTTCTTTCGGTCCCTTGATGGCTGTCCTCATTAATGAGCACCACAGTGAACCTCATTGGCCAAATAGAGTTCTCTGCCTCTGAGAGGTGTGAGGTATGGACGCCCTGCCAGTTTTGGGATGCGGCAGACAGGCCAGTGCGACAAAACAAGCTGTCCCAGGCCACAAG